TCTCTCTCTCTCTCAAAAAACTGACAAGTTATTTTTATGATAGCTCTTACAATTTCACACACTTGGTAAACATTATAATGCACTACAAACTTTATAAGAAAAAGATCAAGTCTCATTTTCCACTCTTGATCATGGGTTAGGCTTCTCCAGGATAGCTTCTGTTCCAAGAATGGTATAAGTTCTTGTATATATATTTTAAAGATCATAAAACACGGTCTTGTACAATTTACATTTTAAACTAATAATTTTAGAGACCTTGTCTTTGTGGGCTTGAAGCATCTCTTCTTTTTAATTGGCTATGTGTGTTTTGAAGTAGGTATATCACAATGTGACCGACCAGCTGCTGTATATTTAGGTTGTTTCTAGACTCTTGTTCGGCAAGAAAATGCTGCAGCATTGACAGAACAGAGCATCTGCTGTCCTGCTCTACAAATTTTGATACTGTTTTCACACCCACAAAAGGCTAATAAATATCCATACTAACAGCTACACAGTACTGTGAAGGTTTCTTCATTCTTCTACCCACACCATTACTATCTGTTGCTGTCTTCACCCTAAAACTTTCTGTAGCCAAAACCACCAGCCTTTTTCTGACTTCTTTCTTTTGAAAAATGTATCAGGTGTCATGTGATCATTGTTCAACCTCTTTATTCAAGGTGACATAAGCCACCGGTACTGGACATACATGGAATGATTTGTGACTCATGCTTCCAGGTCAGCCTCTGTTTCCCAAAGCCATTTGCTTAGTTAGGGGGACTTTTCATTTAGTGGGAAAGCAATTTTTATCCCCCAAAAGGTTGCTTTTTGTTGTTTTAAAAAACAAAATTCTCAGCTGTTCGATTTTACCAAACAAAGACTCAGGAGCTAGATGCTGTGGTGAAAGCCTGCTAGCTCAGAGGCAAAGAAAGCACCCAGCTGACCTTCCTCCTCTACTGACTTCCCAGAAGGAAAAAATCTCTGCTTCTCCAGGCTGCTTCCTTCAAGTCAAGACCCTCCTTTCTTATGCTCACTCCCTGTCAGCTGGTTGCTTGCTCCACCTCTTGACCTATGGTTAACTTTCTTTAGCTCTTGGATTAAAGGTGTGTGCTAGGGCCAAGCCACACCTCAAGTACTTGTTTACAGTAAACAGAAAGCTCCAGGAGTAAAGGTGCAGCCATAATTAGAGACAGATTCTTACAGTTTAGTCTGGGGGGGGTGTTTCACAATGTGATCAAATATCGTGCAACAGCGTTTCTTTCTGTAGGTTGAATTCCCATTTTAAGATTGGCTTAGTGACATCTGAAATGTGGCTGAACAGAAATCTATCACCTCTAAAAGAACCAAGGACCCCAGAATAGGTTAGAAATGCAACCTGGGGAGAATTTGTGATTTTCCGACTTAGGAAGAAAGGAAAAGAGTATCTTTTTTTTTTTTCTGAAAAAAAAATGCATGTTTCATTTCTATTCATCCAGAAGTATTTCAAAGTAATTATAAACAGAAATTGAAGACAAGATACCAGACACCCAGAAGGAATGTTTAAATGATATGGGCCAGCTCCTGTTAGAAGCCATGCAGCCAGCTTATTTAGGCGGGGAAGAATACTTAGTAAAACAAAATGCCATAATTTGATAAAAAGGAAAGGAAAAAATAGTTGTGCATATACTCATGGGAACAAAGCTGGGAGGAAAGTGAGTTGATATCAGCAGTTGGAGATGTAAATGTTTGGGTATTTTGCTTTTTTTTCCCTCTTTCAACTTTTGTATATTTGCCAACTATTTAAAAATTGAAAAGATTTATATTTTTGTGTGTTTGTGTCTGTGTGGGAGTTTGAGTATGTATGTGTGCAGATTCCTATGGAAGTCAGACAGAGGTATCGGCCCCTCCTGGAGCTGGAGGTACTAATGGTTGTGTGCTCCCTGGTGTGAGTGCTGGGAACCAAGCTGTGGTGTGTGTGTGTGTGTGTGTTTATCTTCAGTATGTCTATCCATTTACCTATCTATGTAATTGAATTTTCTTTTTAGACAGGGTTTTGCTATGTAGGCTAGCCTGCCCTGGAACTCACAATTGGGTCTTTTCTCCAAGTGCTGGGATTACAGTGCTACATCACCACATCACCCCCGGTTCCACTTTAAAACTGTGAATTTGTGTGGCTCCCTCTTTTCCAAAGCACAGCACAAGGCAGGCACTTAGGTGCTTGGGAGATCTGATGTAGGAAGGGGCAGGAAAGGATGTTCCTTGTCATGCGCTTGCTGATAACGGAGATGATTGCTAGACAAAAAGAGAGGGAGAGGGAAGGAGAGAGAGAGAGAGAGAGAGAGAGAGAGAGAGAGAGAGAGAGAGAGAGAGAGAACCTGATTTTCCTCTTTACTTTGACAACTTCTTTAAGTCCTAGTACCAATAGCGACAAATATGTAGACAAATACGTAAAACGAAAAGTGTGTTCTTGTACACCTACCTATCCCTGTGAAACCATCTCAGCCACAGGTCTCCCTCCTCCCACGCAGACTCACCCTCACCTTTGCATCCTGACTGCCTGCTTACTCTCCTCCACAGCCTCTTTCCAGGAAATCTCTGATCCGCCTTTGCCACTGGCGGCTGCTCTGCATTATCTTGGGTTTCATGTAAGTGAAGGCAAACAGTAGACACTTTTAGATTCGCCTCCCTTACTCAGCGTAAAATTACTCTGAGACCAATCTGAGCGCCTGTGTGAGGTGGCCATTCATCTCTCCTGTTATGTGAATGTTCCAGAAACTTTTCCATTCATTACTAAATCTACAGTTTGGCTGTCACCAAAACAGCTGGTGAGAAGATTCATGTCCAAGTTGCTGTGGGGATACGGCTGCATTTTTTCCTAGGGTAATTACTTGGGAATAGGATAGTTGGTTATATTCGCGTTTCTAGAAAATCGCCAAACTGTTCTCCAGTGGGCTGGGAGGGGTCTCAGTTAAAGGACTTGCTGTAGAAGCGTGAGGACACATTTGAATCCACAGCACCATAGAAACCAAGTATAGTAGTGACGTCTATGATCCCAGCTCTGGAGAGGTATAGACCAGCTGATCTCTGAGTGAGAGGTCCTGCCATAGCAAAACAAAACAAACAAAAAAGAAAAAAGCAAAGCAAAGAAAAAAGGTAGGTGCTAAAGAGATGGCTCAGCAGTTAAAAGTATTGGTGGTTGCTCTTCCAGAGGATCTGGGTTCAATTCCAAAACCAGGGGACCTGACGCCCTCTTCTGGTCTCTTCTGGCATTATGAGCATATCTAGTGCAGTCCTACAAATAGGCAAACACCCATATGCATGAGAGAGGGGGGAGGAGAAGGAGGAAGAGGAGGAGGAGGAGGAAGAGGAGGAGGAGGAAGAGGAGAAAGGAGAAGGAGAAGAGGAAGAGAATAAGAGAGAGAGAGAGGGAGGGAGGGAGGGAGGGAGGGAGGGAGGGAGGGAGGGAGGGAAGGAAGGAGGGAAGGAGGGAGGGAAGGAGGGAAGGAGAGAGGGAGGAAGGGAGAGAGAACTTTCTGTTGACCTCTGGCCTTCCCAGGCACACACACACACACACACACACACACACACACACACACACGCTTATATACATACACAACACACACGCACACGTGGGGTCTCAATCTGACAAACTGTTTTCCAGAATTGTACCTCGTTGTGTGTCATGGAGTCCGCAGTTCTTTGAGAAAGGTGGAGTGGAAAGGAAAGCCACAGGAAAGGAGGCAGCAGAGCACGCTGGATTCATGGAGCAAGTCTTCTAGCACCAAGATGTGTAGTGCTGACTGAGGGGTGGGGTAGAGGCACTGGCCAGGCACAGAGCCCTCCTCAAAGGAGGGGTTCTCTCCCAGGCTGGGTGCCTACACACCCTTCTTCAGGGAGCTCTGACCTTGTATTGCTAGCTTATGCTTAGGCAATAAAAAAAAATGGGGGTGGAGAGAGAAGGAGTCATTCTTAGACCTTACAGAAGTTGAACCAGAAAGAAATGAACTATGCCATAAGGGTGGGTTGGAGACTAGCTAAGTGTCCCCATGGTTCATCATTCACAGGTACAAGTTGTGTGAGATATCTAAGTTAAAAGAAATTAAGCATTAAGCCCTGTGTCTATTGTAGTAAAGAAGCAAGCAGTAACTCAGGAACTGTTGCTTTCATCTTATATTTTCAAACAAGTTTGATGTTGAATCTCCTCCACCTTTGATGTTTAGTTCCCAGAGTACATCTGTAAACTTTTCTTCTTTCTGGTTTTTGCCCTTTCTTTCTAGAAGCTGATTGGCGTCTGACTCACCATGACATCCACAGAACTCACAGTGAGTACAGTCATGACCTCAGGTGCCTCAAAACCCTCTCACTCCCTGGTCCTCCTTGCATGGGGATATGGGAAAGAATCTACTGTGGAGATGGATTTCCCTTGTGGTGCTCCAGGGTAAGAGCTCTGTCAGCAGTGCTCACCACTATATAGGATGTTTCTGGCTGTATCCACTCTCTTTGTAAACAGAGGCAGCATTGGGAGGGGCATGCTGTGAAAACAGAAAATTTAAATTTTAAATTTTATGAATAGCAGAGGAGTTTTGTGCTCTTTGGCTAGGATAGGCTTTGTCCCATATGTTTTCTGATGCTCGCGCAAAGGAAAGAGAGAACCCACTTGTTTTGTTAACAAAAGCCTTGTGGTGGAGAAATACTTGCCTTTCTCTTATAACCACACAACTCTTTCAAAAGCTGATAGTGGTATTTTCCTGACAGGCTGTGAACTGAATTAACTTTAGCAGGTCAAATCATTGTCTGAATTCCTTTTTTTTTTTTTAACACAAAATGTAATTAAGTGTAGGATGGATTAATTTTAGAATCAAATCTAAGCACCTTACAATATCTTAAGGCTTTCATTTTGCTTCTGTAAAAGGGGAAATATGTTTTACGTGCAGATAGTGGAAACTAAGCCACCTCAGTGGAGCGAACAGATTGTCCTTCAAAGTACCTTGTAGGTTTGTAAGACCTACAGGATGTGGTGGCTTAATTAGGTTGCCAATAAAATTATTTATTACTCCAGTATGCCCTTAGCATTGTCTGGGACTATTTATATGATTGCACATACTATTAAATTGATCCTGGTAAGGCGAGGAGAGAGCCTTGATTTTCTCTGCAGTGGAATTTGGCTCTTGGCCTCTGAGGCAGAGAGATCAAGGCTGAGCAGGCTCCTTCTGAGAAGTCTGTCTCGTGGTTTCCCATTTGTGATTTTGGAAAACAACTGAACATGGAAAGGCAGCCTAAATAAAAGGTGAGCCTCCCAACAGTGATGACCCTCCGTGGTCAGAGAAGTCCCGATGGACCACAGAATCCAGGTGCTGCACGTGCTGCCAGCCCCTGTTACTGAGCAGTAAGCTGAGACTGGGAGAGTGATGGAGGGTTCAGGGTTTGAAGCAAATCAGAGAACAAAATGAGGGATGTAGGTATTTTAATCACCGAGCCCATGTCTAGTGTTTGCAGGACTTTTCTGGCACCAGAGATGGTTCCTTCTGATACTTTCAGATGACTGCATGGATAGAGAGAAGTCTTAATTTAAATTAAGAATTTGTGTCTCAGACCAAATATATTTGGCACCAATATACTTAAAAGAGAGGAGCTTTGCTCAGTTTTCACAATAATGAGCTCTTAAGAGCTATCCCAAGATGCCATGATATCTCCTGTTATTTCCTGCCAGCCAGGGTCCATGTAGGTTGGATTTAGTGGTATGAGCTTCAAAATTCTGGAAGCATCGGCCTCCCATAATGTACTACTTTTTATCATCTCATTCAGTATGTTCTGGTATCTATCTAATAAGAACCACATGCATGTGTGCATGTGTGTACTTACACACATACAGAGATAATACTCCAAACTCAAATAAGTAAAGGAAACATTGCTAAGGAAAAAAAATTATGGACATCTCAAGGGCCTTTTATTGTGCCAATATGCGATTAAAATGAAAATTAAGTTTTATGGAACTCTTTCCAGAGATGAGTCTGCTTGGGATAATTGTGACTTTCAAAAATGAAAATGCAACATGCAGATTCTTTAGCATTCAACAACTGCAGGGTTTGGGAAAGGCTGGTTGGCCATCAGAAGCATATGGGAATTATATAGCACAGCTAACAAACAGTGGTGGAATTTTATTATTCAATACCTGTTGTGCTAATTATTTAAAACTGCCTCTGGTCTAGCCAACTATCTAAGCTTCGGTGGCTCTGCCTAGCTCAGCTGCCATGTTTCTCAGCCGGAGGCCACGTGTGCGCCTGCAGCTAGAAATGGCCAACTCATGAGACGTCAGTGTGGGAGATGGCTCAATCTCCCATGCTGTCTTTGCAAGGCTAGGCATTGCCCAGACCATCCTGCCATCCACACGGGCCCAGTAGGAAAATGAGACTCTAATGCTTAAATTATCCAAAAGCTTATATATTTGATAATGATCAGTAACAAGATGCCCACACAATCAGAAGTGTAACCCAATATCCAACCTAGATATACCAACTACCTTTGACTGCTACAGACACGTGAACATCCGCCTCCATCGATCCTATCTCTCTCTCTAACTCCTCTTCTTCCTTTTCCTCTTCCTCTTTCTACTCCTCTTCTTTCTCTCCTTACTCCTCCCACCTTAGCTCCTCCTACAAACACCAATATGGATGTACATAAACTAACCAATGACTCTTACATTTTTACTAATATTAACTACTTAAAGCAAAACAAACTCTCACAGAGAGTGTCTAGTTCAAATACAGACAGATAACTTGAAAAATTATTATACTTGTCTCAAGGGAAAAAAAATACTGTGAGATTGTCCTCTCACAAAAGAAATGCAGAGACCGTCTCTCAGGGCAAGACACCAGTGACTAAGAGTCTCTGTGAAATGATAAAGTCTAATGCAAGCCCCAAAGAGGGGATGGAAGGCAGTGAGCTCATGTGGGCATGGAATGGAGGTTTCAAAAATGTAACAGTTACCTTGCTGTGGACCTGGCATCCTCCTACCTGCTATCTACGTGCTCAGGTTTCATCCATCCCCTTCTCCTATGGCAGTGGTAGGTACCCACAGGAAGTACAATGACATATTAGCATATGTGTGTAGATATATTTATGCATGTGTGTTTGTGTGCATGAGTGTGTAGATGAGCATGCGAGCAGGAGGGCGGGCATGCTTTGGCATAGGAGAGTGTGCAATGCATGTGTGCCCCATGTGATTGTATGTCCCTATTAGAACCAGTACCCTGAATGTGTGACAGTTGTGATCACATGGGATTCATGTGTTTAAGAATGTTTATACTTGACTTAATGTTCCCTGTCTTATAATGTTAATACTTGTTTTCAACAAGATCCTTGGAAACTCTACGGCACTCATATTTATGCGTGCAATTGAGTGTCCCATGTGTATATGCAAATGTGTGTGTGCGCGCAGATGAGTGTTTATACTTCTGGGGCTCTCAGAAAACTCAGAGGTGCTGTGACTCCAGTAGATTAAGGGGCTCCTGCTGACATTTTATATTTGCAGATATTGAATAGTTGGGGGAAAGGACTGTCACATGTCACACTCACTCACACAGTTCAAGTAAATGTCCACTGTGGTTCTCTCTTTTCTATTGTATCAGAATACTTGTCATCCACACTGTGAGTGTTCATTTGCTTCTCTGTATCCTTCATGAATAAGTTAAGTTCTATGAAAGTAGAAACCAGACTTGATTACCTGGTATCTTCAGCAGATAACACAGTAACCACTTACAGTGGGTAGTTAACATTTACTAAATAAACATTTCTTTCATTGATCAATTTCTATTGTTTTAACCAAACACCTTACTTTGGGTTATGTGTAAAGAAACTTCTTCAGTTTACAGCTTGGGAGGCTGAAGTTCTAAGATTGGGCAGCCTCATCTGGTCAACCTCTGGTGCAGGTCTCCTGGCTATATCATAGTATGGCAGAAAATAAGAAAAAAGAAGAAATATACAGCCATGTGGCAAGATAGGAAGTCAGGGAGATTCAAGGGCCAGGCTCCCCTTCTTTTGTGACAACATGCTATTGTAGGAACTGGGATCCCAAGAAAACTCATTAATGCCTTCTATGGTAGTATACCATTACATAACCAACCATTACATAACCAACAGTGGGCCCCACCTCAGATCATGACATTGGGTGACCAATATTTTATAAACTTTACATACTCAAGCCAAACTAAATCATATCACAGTCCTCCTACCACCACTTATGCTCCTTTTCCTTTATCTTAGAGCTTTGGCATTGGGTCAGGTTATCCTATTTACCGTCAGACCTGATCACTCAAAAGTTATCCTTGACTGAATGCTATCCATATTCCTTACAGAGCCTTATTCCTGGCATGTTTGATGACTACAACTATGACTCCACTGCTTCCACAGATGACTACATGAATTTGAATTTCAGTAGCTTCTTCTGTAAGAAAAACAATGTCAGGCAGTTTGCGAGCCATTTCCTTCCACCTCTGTACTGGCTTGTATTCATTGTGGGCACCCTGGGTAACAGCCTGGTCATCCTTGTCTACTGGTATTGCACAAGAGTGAAGACCATGACTGACATGTTCCTTTTGAATTTGGCCATTGCTGATTTGCTCTTTCTTGCCACTCTTCCCTTCTGGGCCATTGCCGCTGCTGGTGAGTGGATGTTCCAGACCTTCATGTGCAAGGTTGTGAACAGCATGTACAAGATGAACTTCTACAGCTGTGTGCTTCTCATCATGTGTATCAGTGTGGACAGATATATTGCCATTGTACAGGCCATGAAGGCTCAGGTCTGGAGGCAGAAAAGGCTGCTGTACAGCAAGATGGTCTGCATTACCATCTGGGTGATGGCAGCTGTGCTCTGCACCCCAGAAATCCTTTACAGTCAAATCAGTGGGGAATCTGGCATTGCCATATGTACCATGGTCTACCCTAAGGATAAGAATGCCAAGCTAAAGTCAGCTGTCTTGATCCTGAAGGTCACCTTGGGGTTTTTCCTCCCCTTCATGGTCATGGCCTTCTGCTACACCATCATCATTCATACCTTGGTACAGGCCAAGAAGTCATCCAAGCACAAGGCCCTCAAGGTGACCATCACTGTTCTCACTGTTTTCATTGTGTCTCAGTTCCCCTACAACTGCATTCTTGTAGTGCAGGCTGTCGATGCCTACACCATGTTTATCTCCAACTGTGCTATTTCCACCAACATTGACATCTGCTTCCAGGTTACTCAGACTATTGCATTCTTCCACAGTTGTCTGAACCCAGTTCTCTATGTTTTTGTGGGTGAGAGATTCCGGAGGGATCTGGTGAAGACCCTGAAGAACCTGGGATGCATTAGCCAGGCCCAGTGGGTTTCATTCACAAGGAGAGAGGGTAGCTTGAAGCTTTCTTCTATGCTACTGGAGACAACTTCGGGGGCTCTCTCCCTCTGAGAGAACTCACAGGGCATTTGGTTCTTTTTGGAAATAACAAGATATGTGGATACAACATAGTGTAAAGAGACAGCAAATAGTAAGAAAACTGGGGGGTGGGGGGAGCAGGAAAAAACAAAACAAACAATCTGGGATGAGCCTAAACAACTTTATCATGCTCAGTCAATCTGCCAAAGTCTCCCAAACCCACCACTGCAGAAGGGCACCAGCTGGTGTTTAGTTATGGTCACTTCAGTTCTGAAGAGAATACTTGAGCAGCCGTGAGGACACCCCAGCCTTGGACATGCTCATCAGGGCAGCTGGGGTTTGGAGGCACTGAGTTCCTTCAGTGCTCCAAGTTTCTTTTACCTCAGATCTGATGCTACTCCTCTCCAGAGGTGACAGAGCACTGGCCACCACCGTGTTGGCCCCCGGCCCCCCCCCCAAAAAAAAAAGCTGATTGACATCCACTTCAGGATCTTTTCTCTATAGTCCTACTGGTGGGAAGACTGTATGTCTCATTAGCTACAGTTATTTTTTTTTTTAAATCTAGAATACACACAAAGCTCTGAGGTTGAATGACATTCTGATCTCATTGGTCTTTTGAGAGGGAGAACCACTGTTCCTAGTTTGGAGCCATGTGTCAGACAGGTTGGTCAGCTGATGGACAGCTGACCACATCACATTACCTGGAGTCTTGCTCCCAGTCTACTTCTGTGTCAGGCAGACGAGGCCATGTCCAAACCTAGCTGCAAGCACAAACTAGGCAAGGATCTAGCCTGTTCCCTGATGTGGTCAAAGTGGCCCTCAGAGAATTAAGCTGGAGAATATGGTTGGATGGTGGGAACCTAGCCTTTGGGACTTCCTCAGGCAAGAGGCACTTGCTGCAGGTTCTCCCATCTTCTTCCTACCAGTGACATGTCCTCTTCTTCTGAGGCCCCCGGAACAGTGTCTGCCTTCCTGCTACCTCCCCTCTCCTTACTCTGTAGTACCAACAGTTTACAACCTTTTTAGATTAAGATGAATTGGTGGGTTGGGCATTGTAGTGTACACCTTTAATCCCAGCACTTGGGAGGCAGAGGCAGGATGATCTCTGAGTTCGAGACCAGCCCGGTCTACATATTGAGTCCAGAACAACCAGGGCTGGTTACACAGAGAAATCTCATCACGAAAACCAACCAACCAACCAACCAACCAACCAACCAACCAACCAACCAACCACCAACCAAGTAAACAAAGGGTTGGAGAGATGATTTAGTGGTTAAGAGCACTGACTGTTTTCTAGAGGACCAGGGTTCAATTCCCAACACCTACATGGCAGCTCAAAACTGTAACTCCAGTTTCAGAGTATCTGATACTCTCACACAGACATACATGCAGGCAAAACACCAAGGCACATGGAATAAAAATATAATGAAAAAGAAAAATATGTAATATAATTTACCTTCCACCTGTTTTTAATTACTTGATACATTTCTCACATTGGAAAAAAAATCATTGCATATCTTTAAAATGTGTTTTATAATGTATATTTACAAATGTTCATCACTTGCTATTTGTTTTACCATTTCTCAATATTGTAATTGTGAACAATTAAAAATTAGACATACAGTAATTGTAAAAGGTAAGACTAGTAAACCTTTACCCCATCCAGCCAACCAAGTTTTTATTCTGCCTTCCTTCATCTTTCACATACATAGTAAGAGACAGAGTGCGTATTCCTGGGAAGGTCAGCAGGTAGTTCAGCAGAAAGTGATAAGTGAGCCCCAGATATGACAGGCACCACTTCCAAAACCAAGGTCAGTATAAGGCCAGAGCCATCTGTATCATGGACTGTCATTTTTAGGAGATCCAGATATCTGCTCCTTTGAGGAATTCGGA